TATGGAGCCTCCTGTTATGTAGCCTTCTGTCATGTAGCCTCCTGTTATGTAGCCTCATGTTATGGAGCCTCCTGTTATGTAGCCTCCTGTTATGTAACCTCCTGTTGTGTAGCCTCCTGTTATGGAGCCTCCTGTTATGGAGCCTCCTGTTATGGAGCCTCCTGTTATGGAGCCTCCTGTTATGGAGCCTCCTGTTATGGAGCCTCCTGTTATGTAGCCTCCTGTTATGGAGCCTCCTGTTATGTAGCCTCCTGTTATGGAGCCTTCTGTTATGGAGCCTCCTGTTATGGAGCCTCCTGTTATGGAGCCTTCTGTTATGGAGCCTCCTGTTATGTAGCCTCCTGTTATGTAGCCTCCTGTTATGGAGTCTCCTGTTATGGAGCCTCCTGTTATGGAGTCTCCTGTTATGTAGCCTCCTGTTATGGAGTCTCCTGTTATGTAGCCTCCTGTTATGTAGCCTCCTGTTATGTAACCTCCTGTTATGTAGCCTCCTGTTATGGAGCCTCCTGTTATGGAGCCTCCTGTTATGGAGCCTTCTGTTATGTAGCCTCCTGTTATGGAGCCTCCTGTTATGGAGCCTCCTGTTATGGAGCCTCCTGTTATGTAGCCTCCTGTTATGGAGCCTCCTGTTATGGAGCCTCCTGTTATGGAGCCTCCTGTTATGGAGCCTCCTGTTATGTAACCTCCTGTTATGGAGCCTCCTGTTATGGAGCCTCCTGTTATGTAGCCTCCTGTTATGGAGCCTCCTGTTATGTAGCCTCCTGTTATGGAGCCTTCTGTTATGGAGCCTCCTGTTATGGAGCCTCCTATTAAGTAGCCTCCTGTTATGGAGCCTTCTGTTATGGAGCCTCCTGTTATGTAGCCTCCTGTTATGTAGTCTCCTGTTATGGAGTCTCCTGTTATGTAGCCTCCTGTTATGGAGTCTCCTGTTATGTAGCCTCCTGTTATGGAGCTTCCTGTTATGGAGCTTCCTGTTATGGAGCCTCCTGTTATGTAGCCTCCTGTTGTGTAGCCTCCTCCAGAATCCAGTATTTTCTTATCGCGTCTTCGCCTCGTGTCTCCGTTCCGTGTCTCCGTTCCGTGTCTCCATTCCGTGTCTCCGTTCCGGGTCTCCGTTCCGTGTCATCGTTCCGTGTCTCCGTTCCGTGTCTCCGTTCCGTGTCTCCATTCCGTGTCTCCATTCCGTGTCTCCGTTCCGGGTCTCCGTTCCGTGTCATCGTTACGTGTCTCCGTTCCGTATCTCCGTTTCGTGTCTCCGTTCCGTGTCTCCGTTCCGTGTCTCCGTTCCGTGTCTCCATTCCGTGTCTCCGTTCCGTGTCTCCGTTCCGTGTCACCGTTCCGTGTCTCCGTTCCGTGTCTCCGTTCCGTGTCACCGTTCCGTGTCACCGTTCCGTGTCTCCGTTCCGTGTCATCGTTCCGTGTCACCGTTCCGTGTCTCTATTCCGTGTCTCCGTTCCGTGTCTCCGTTCCGTGTCTCCGTTCCGTGTCACCGTTCCGTGTCTCCGTTCCGTGTCTCCGTTCCGTGTCACCGTTCCGTGTCTCCGTTCCGTGTCTCCGTTCCGTGTCACCGTTCCGTGTCTCCGTTCCGTGTCACCGTTCCGTGTCATCGTTCCGTGTCTCCGTTCCGTGTCACCGTTCCGTGTCTCCGTTCCGTGTCACCGTTCCGTGTCTCCGTTCCGTGTCACCGTTCCGTGTCATCGTTCCGTGTCTCCGTTCCGTGTCTCCGTTCCGTGTCACCGTTCCGTGTCACCGTTCCGTGTCTCCGTTCCGTGTCACCGTTCCGTGTCTCCGTTCCGTGTCATCGTTCCGTGTCTCCGTTCCGTGTCTCCGTTCCGTGTCACCGTTCCGTGTCATCGTTCTGTGTCTCCGTTCCGTGTCACCGTTCCGTGTCTCCGTTCCGTGTCATCGTTCCGTGTCTCCGTTCCGTGTCACCGTTCCGTGTCACCGTTCCGTGTCACCGTTCCGTGTCTCCGTTCCGTGTCATCGTTCCGTGTCTCCGTTCCGTGTCTCCGTTCCGTGTCACCGTTCCGTGTCATCGTTCCGTGTCTCCGTTCCGTGTCACCGTTCCGTGTCTCCGTTCCGTGTCATCGTTCCGTGTCTCCGTTCCGTGTCACCGTTCCGTGTCCCGTTCCGTGTCACCGTTCCGTGTCTCCGTTCCGTGTCATCGTTCCGTTTCTCCGTTCCGTGTCTCCGTTCCGTGTCACCGTTCCGTGTCATCGTTCCGTGTCTCCGTTCCGTGTCACCGTTCCGTGTCACCGTTCCGTGTCATCGTTCCGTGTCTCCGTTCCGTGTCACCGTTCCGTGTCACCGTTCCGTGTCATCGTTCCGTGTCTCCGTTCCGTGTCACCGTTCCGTGTCACCGTTCCGTGTCATCGTTCCGTGTCTCCGTTCCGGGCGGGTCTTGCCGTGGCCTGCACTGTCGCAGCGTTTTGATTCGAGGGTGTTGTCGCTGTGTGTTTTCTTAAGAGTATTCCAGGGAAGGCATTTGTTGTTGTTACGTCTTGCACGTGACGCGCCGTCTTGGGAGAGGGGAGGGAAGGGGTGGTGAGGGAGCGAAGGAGGGAGGGCGAGAGGGAGGGGAGGGAAGGGGAGGGAAGGGGAGGGGAAAGGAGGGGTGGGGGCATGGAGGGGAGGGGGGAGAGAGAGAGAGAGAGAGAGAGAGAGAGAGAGAGAGAGAGAGAGAGAGAGAGAGAGAGAGAGAGAGAGAGAGAGAGAGAGAGAGAGAGAGAGGAAACCGATTGTCGGGTCGTGTTGCAGAGAAAGAGATGTAAGGCAAGGCTTACCATGAGCCATGGGATGGGTAAGCTCTCAGTCAGCTAACATAAGTCACAAGGCGTCTACTCCTGTACCCTCCTGCATAAAAAATAACAAATTAAGACATTGAGACAGTGACACGAGATAGACAGAGACACGAGATAGACAGAGACACGAGATAGACAGAGACACGAGATAGACAGAGACACGAGATAGACAGAGACACGAGATAGACAGAGACACGAGATAGACAGAGACACGAGATAGACAGAGACACGAGATAGACAGAGACACGAGATAGACAGAGACACGAGATAGACAGAGACAGGCATAGAGTGAGAGACTGAGAAACTGAGATGGACTGAAACAGACGATACTGAAACAAGAAAATATTAACGGAAATAATATCCCACGACTCCTCACCACTCTCCACTTCCTACCCCTCTTCTTGCGTTCCTTCCTTCTATCATCTAGCCTTCCTTCATCCCTCCCTCCCGGCCCCCTTGCCCTTCTGGCCGCTCTTAACTCCTACTGAAGAAGAAACTTTGTGTGGTAACGCGCGCCAGGCGACGTTGTCTGCATATTCCTGCCCCTGTGACCCCGTCCTCCTCACAGCTCGTATCAGCAAATTAAACAACTTGCATTAGTCTGTAAATGTAATGCTAATTTATATAATGTAATTTCTCCTTCAGATGTATTCATGTTGTATTCTTTAAACACTACAAGAGTGCTGATACATTGCCTCATTGACTATTTTGGATTTGGAGTGAAGATAATTAATTGTCTCTCTCTCTCTCTCTCTCTCTCTCTCTCTCTCTCTCTCTCTCTCTCTCTCTCTCTCTCTCTCTCTCTCTCTCTCTCTCTCTCTCTCTCTCTCTCTCTCTCTCGTGAGTCTACATTAAACTGCACACCACTGAAGTCTTTGGTCTTTTGGTAAGTCACTCTGAGGACTCTGCTCCCTCTAGTGATAACTTCCCTCCTCGTGTGCCTGCAGGAGCGACCACCACACTGTACGAGGTAAGGACCGGCGATGGCAGTCACAACACACATGGAACAATACATACACGCAACAGTAAAAGTTGGCCGCCAACACTGTTATGGAACAAGACACAAATAGGTAACAGATGACAGCTATACAACAAATACGGAACAACACACACATACACACGCACACACACACACACACACACACACACACACACACACACACACACACACACACACACACACACACACACACACACACACACACACACACATACTCACACACACACACACAACAAATAACAAGGCAAATTAACTTGAAATTACCTATTGACAGAAAAAATCAGTTCATCCGCACATAAATTTATCGTCCCTTTATCTATCCTCACCTTTATCACCACCTCCGCTTATATTCCTTCTTTCCCAAATTATTCCAAAGTTTATCATGAATTGTTCGACGAAAACCCTTGTATATTGGTAATAGTATACTAACCTTACGGCCTGACAAACGCCAGAAACCACCTCATTATATATACACAAGGAAGTCACAATAACGCGAGATATCCGGGAAAAATCTTCTTTGCTACCACAGACACATGAAGACGGAGAAGGTACACGAACACACGGGCTCACGAACGCACACTCAACAACAACAATAAATAACTCCCTCTCGCCAAACAGAGAGAGAAACCAGCGCCCTTACGTAGCCATTTACGATTCTTCGCGGTGGGAATCGTATTCCAGGGACCTGCCCGAAACGCTACGCGTACTAGTGGCTGTACAAGAATGTAACAACTCTTGTATATATCTCAATTGGCCTGAATAAAAGCTGTAAAAATTAGCCTGGCTGCTAGCGGCACCAGTGACGCAGCCACCGACAGCCAGCCTGGCCTCCCGTATATACTGACAGCAACAGCAGTCCAGTCAGCTCTATTCTTAGGTCTTGGTGAGTAACAGGTAAGAAATAATATGAGAGCTCTGGTATGTATGTAACGAACCCTGGTGCACATAACGAGCCCTGGTGCACACAAAACCAGCCCTGGTGCACATAACGAGCCCTGGTGCACACAAAACCAGCCCTGGTGCACATAACGAGCCCTGATTCCAGTAAAATCCTGACACTGAAGCCAATACCGAAATACTAGTGTCCAGTACCCCTGTCACTGAGAACACAATAACCACCACCAACAAACAAGTAACCACTGCTCCTCCCCCGCAAAAAAAGGTAAACAGACTTAGGTTCTTCAGTTCGAGGTACTCACCGACGACGTTGAGGACGCCGAACTGGCTCTTGGCGACGATGGTGTTGACCTGACACATGTAGGTGCCGGCGTCCGTGGCGTTGACCCGCGAGAGGTGCAGGGTCCAGGTGCGGTGACCGTCGTGGGTCACATTGACCCGAGGGTTGCGGGTTATCACATGATCTTGTACCGTCAAGATGGCAGACTTGTCGAACGCTATCCACGCTACCTGCGGGAGAGAGAGAGAGAGAAAGATTTAGGCGTTGGGGACGTTGAAATGCCATGTATGCCTACCTGGGGAGGATTGGAAGAGTCAAATGGGAATTTTCATGGATTCTGCGTCATTTGGGAGATGGGGAGAGATGGATTGAATGTTATCCTCACTACCTGGGAGGATGGGGGAGAGTTAGATGCTATCCACGCCACTTAGAATAATGTAAATCAGGAATTAAACACTACACGAGAGAGAGAGAGAGAGAGAGAGAGAGAGAGAGAGAGAGAGAGAGAGAGAGAGAGAGAGAGAGAGAGAGAGAGAGAGAGAGAGAGAGAGAGAGAGAGAGAGAGAGAGAGAGAGAGAGAGAGAGAGAGAGAGAGAGAGAGAGAAAGAGAGATAATCTAAAAATATATTTTTAAAATCTAAAAGACAAATTCTGTTTCCGTTAACGGTACTAACAAATCAACGGGAGAGGTCAAGGTGCCAAGTCACCGGAAACAATCCAACGTGACAAGATATGTACACTAAATTATCGTCCTCTCAACTTGACATTGGTGTCAGCAAAAATCACGGAAACAATTACTAACAACAGAATCGCTAAATTTCTAAAGGACCTCAACACCGCAACGAACAACAGACACGGATTCTGAATATATTAATTCCTTTTTGTAGTCTATTTCCAACCACAGACCACACACATATACAGTGCCAAGAGCACATATACAGTGCCAACCAGCACATATACAGTGCCAACACCACATATACAGTGCCAACACCACATATACAGTGCCAACCAGTACATATACAGTGCCAACCAGTACATATACAGTGCCTACAACACATATACAGTGCCAACAGCACATATACAGTTCCGTCCGCCCTACACAGAGTTAAAGAGGTGATTGAAGGACTTTTACAATGATCATCAATTGTCAGTTTCCTTCGACCTGCAACTGGAAGACATTAGGTTAATGAGTATGACGTCAGCTTTTGCTCCTACGTCTGCCGACTCCAGTCGAGTCTGAAGAAGTTAGGCTAAAACTTCTTAACTTGCACTCTCTAGAAAATTGTAGAGGAAGATGGGGATATGACAGAGCGTTGAGGCAGGGGGACGCGACTGACCGTAGAGGATGTATAGGATGAGGGAGGGGACGATTGAGGGAGATATTTTAATATTTCTGCTATTTAGCATCATGTTCAAGGGACCCTACGACTATTATGTTAACGGCAGAGCTTTACCACAAGCCACATGCACACTTCAGTCCTCTGTGCTCATTGTATTCACACACCATGTAAACTTAACTTACTTAATCTATGTTCAAAAAAGAGAGGTTTCTAATTCCCCGGGAACGCGTTTTGCATTTATTTTTGCACACGTTCAGGGAAATATTCGGACATAAAGGACAAAAATAGTGTTTATGGATTTGAGTCCCAGAATACTATTTGTCTTGTATTTCGGACATTTATTAATCGATTTTTAGACTTAATATCTCTACTAATCATGACACTTTTTTCATAATCATCTATAATAATTTTTTACGTAGATCATATTTATACAGTCATAGTGTTTCTTTTCTATTTTTTTCTATAGTTATTTTTTATATATTATATAGTTATTTTTTATTTTTTAGAATATAAAAAATATTCAATTTTCTCTATTTTTTTCATAGTCTTCGTTATCATAGTCAAGGATGACTATGATAACGAAGACCTCAGTGTCTCAGTCCTTCACGTGTTGCTCCCTAACTTCCCTCCAGGGACCCGTGACGCATTATCAGCGACGAGACGAATTTAAGATTCGTTTGGCCAGCTTCGCTATTAAAACAAATCATATATAGGAAAATAAAAATATAATTATTTCAAACATCAAAAGAAGTTGTCGTGATACTAATGAAACAGATCCCAACACCATCTTTTGTCGTCATTAAGGCACAAATATCCGGCTTCTCTTCCGGTAAAGACATTTTAATGGATACTATATCAAAATATAGATTAAATATATATTAATCTTTCAGATCCAGTGCTCTGTAACCATGGAATAGAATGTCTGCGTGCTCGAATTTGCCTGAGGATGGTAGCCAGACACTTAAGGCTAGTCTCACTAAACTTTACAAGGTGACTACTGGTTGGTCATGAGGGGTCACGAGCGGCACGGGGTCGCCGCCCCCCTCTCCATGAACTGGCAAATGATACCAATTTCCAGACTCCAAATTCTAAATTCTAAATTCCAGACGCCATCCTCTCTAAGATTCATACAGGATATTATTTATTTACCTGATTAAATGTTAGCTTTTCTTCTGCATTATTTTTATTGACGAAGACAGTGATTAGTGAAGATGGTTACAGTGATGAAGGAGAAGTGGCGAGGAGTGAGGAAGGCGCTGATGAAGGGTAGCGAAGGGGGGAAATGATAGGGAAGGTGGTGAAGGTTTGGGAGGGTGGTGAAAGGTAGGAAAGGTGAAAGGTAGGGAAGGTGGTGAAGGGTAGAGAGGGTAGTGAAGGGTGGAGAGGGTAGTGAAGGGAAGATAAGGTGGTGATGGTTAGGAAATGTGGAGAAGAAGAGGGAAAGTAATGGAGTAGTGACTGTAGATGGGGATCAGAAGGAGGAGATAGGGTAGGGGCGAGAAACGAGGGGGGGAGGTGAGAAGAAGGAAGGAGGGAATATGGGGGAGAATGGGGAAATAGGGAAGAAGAGGGGAGAGAGGGGGGGGGACGAAAAGGAGAATGAATGAGTGGTGGGGGAAGGGGGAGACTCTACCAATCCCTGAAGATACCCCTTCTGATCAACATATGTAAGAAGTAATGACTGTTTACCTGCCTGTCTGTCTGTCTGTCTGTCTGTCTGTCTGTCTGTCTGTCTGTCTGTCTGTCTGTCTGTCTGTCTGTCTGTCTGTCTGTCTGTCTGTCTGAGGTACTGGACAGACGCAGACTGGTCGAGGTCCGTCTATTAAGAGGGGGGGGGGGGGCAGACCCAACCGTGACCCCATCTCACCTAATCGCTGAAATTTGTGATTTATTACTCGTAATTTATGAATATGAATTCACTATTACATTTTCTGAGAGAGAGAGAGAGAGAGAGAGAGAGAGAGAGAGAGAGAGAGAGAGAGAGAGGGGGGGGGGAGGAAAGGAAAGAGACAGTGGAAGAGGGAGGGATGTTTGAAGAGAGAGAGAGAGGAAAAGGGGGAGATAGGAATATTTGAAGGGAAGGTGAGAGGGGGAGAGAGGCGAGTGGTGAGAGATGGGGGGGGAGAGAGAGGGATGTGAGGAAGCGGAAGAGAGACCCCAGACACTGACAAGTAACCTCCCCTCCCCCCTAAGTTAAATTATAAAATGAACTTGAGTTAATTATCAAACTTCTTCCCCAAGAGGAAAGGAACCTAATATAATTAGTTCTCTCAGAATCATTCAATAATACATATATATACACAAATATAAATATATACAACTGTATACATGCCCAATATATGTTTGTTTCATTTGAAGGAGAAATTAGATAGAACACAAAATATTTTGCAAGAGCCAGAATTGGAGATTTACGAACAGGGAAATGAAAATTTTAAATTGAAAAATACGAGAGAGCGAGCGACCGAGCGGTCTCTCGCTCGGTCTCTGTACAGAACACAGCCAGCGTTCTGTACAGAAAATACTGACACATACACTTTTCATGCACTCACTTTTGGTGCATAAACTATCACATGTACGCTGTTTGTATTGTTAAATTATATAATGCTGGTTTCTGTATCCTAGTGAACTATAAAACTATAATGCTACTATTATTCTTTGTTTACAATCACTGTTCCAACATATATTTTTGACGCTGCAGACGTATGCATTGTTAACCATTGTTCATAAATAAATTTTGGATAAATTTAATAATTCATATACTGTTAATGAATAGGCTGTTTTTATAAATAACCTAAAATTAATAATTTTTGTTGTTGCCATTAAAGTTATATAATAAAAAGTGAATATTTTAGATTATTTCGAACTTATTGCTGTATTTCTGTATGTTTTAAATCTGCCAGTTGCTGTATTCCTGTTATCTTGAAGATTCGCAGTTAGTTAGTTTAGTTCATTTATTATGCACCCCATACCCATCTTGTGGGCGGTAGTGGAAAGGGTTACAGACGCACATAATGGGCTCAGGGACTGAACCCCACAATCCCTGAGCCCATTATGTGCCTCTGTAACCCTTTCCACTATTCGCAGTTGCTCGCCATATGGAAAGAATCGTCCAATATTTGCAACTAGTTTCTCTCTCCAACTAGAGACGATTGCAAATGTTGCAAGTCCATACCGTGCAGATTTAAATACACCAAAACCTTATTCACACAATCGACTTGATAATGGTCCAGGACGGACCGAAACGTCGTCGTCTCTTCACCTTCTAGTGTGTGGTCTGGTCAACACCAAAACTTTATTTTCGCATCGGCTCTATAGATTCGAATACCTTTAACTTAAGGCGCTCTAGAGACACTGTCACCCGCCAAACTAACCAGAGGGTGGACAAGTTGTACGTTCTCGTCCCCCCGTCGGAACAAGTGTATCGTGATTGTTGAATATGAAAGGTAGCATCGCTGAATATTGAAGACGTCAACAGTTGTGATATTGGTGGAGACTGGGCCGCATTTTCGGTTGTAAAATCACAAGAGGTGGAAAGTGCGTTAGTGATTTTGGTGGTTTAGTTATAATCTTTTCCGGTAACAGGAAAGGAAACCTTGTAGACTCTCAGATGGAGTCGTATGGTCATGCTACGTGGAGCGTCTGGCCACACTGTGTGGGGCGTCTGGCTACACTGTGTGGGGCATCTGGCCACACTGTGTGGGGCGTCTGGCCACACTGTGTGGGGCGTCTGGCCACACTGTGTGGGGCGTCTGGCTACACTGTGTGGGGCGTCTGGCCACTCTGTGTGGGGCGTCTGGCCACTCTGTGTGGGGCGTCTGGCCACTCTGTGTGGGGCGTCTGGCCACTCTGTGTGGGGCGTCTGGCCACACTGTGTGGGGCGTCTGGCCACA